ACCCCTCATTTGAAATAAAAGGCGTTATCAGTAGAGAAATCACTGTGGTAAAAAATACAAGAAAATGAACATAAGAAGCAAGAAATGCTTTGTGAAGGAGCTGACAGGTGACCTGAAACAGTATAATATAAGGATTAATGGAATTGGTGAGGTGACTACATAATTGATTGAAAGCTATCAAAGATCCGGAGACAGGCAGGATCACAGGCTTCAGCTGAGAGCTCTTACTCCCCCGAAGAGTCAGACAGCGAGAGCAACAAGCAAATTCCTGCTAGAGAAAAGAGGATTCCACCGGAGCAAAGTTCAGGTGTTAGTATGCAACTGTGCATATCATTTCAGTAGGAAATGAATGGCATAGCTTTTATGGAAAACACTGAGCTAGAAAGACAATATAATCAACTAAAACTGACAGTATCTTACTAGATATTCATCATTGCTTGGGGGATTTTAATAGTTCATTAAATTTACATTGTGATTTTACTTTGTGGATGATATAAAAAAATTACTGTGCTCTGACCAGCACAAGAGCACTAACACAGCTATGGGAGAGTGAGCTGAAATCTACTCTAGCTCATTCGTTGATTCGTTGCCTAAGAAATTGCTGGCCGTGTTTTAGAGCCTTCAGTACTGAAGCAAAGAGAAGCACAGAGAGAATATACCTACATTTTCAAATCACACCCTGAGTTTGCAAAATTGGCATATGAAGAAAAAATGCTTTTCTTGTAAAGTGATCAAAATTAATAAAGTGTTATGAAGCAATAATAAATGCAGCATTCCCAATGCCACTTAGTTGTTCAATTTTCAGCATAGAATAATTATATTCTCTCTATCACCTTCCTCCAATATGATAAATTAAAGCAATAGGCTTTATGGCATGAGAAATGAAGAATGATGGTGAAGGGTGAAGAGATGGCAGTGAAGTGAGAAGAGGATGAAATGAAGGTGCGTTTGAGTTGTTCACATACATTATCTGCCCTGTAATTGGCATGGAAATATCTTGGGTGTTAGTGGATGATGTCTGCGGTCACAGAAGAAGGCCTATGCAGGGTTCCAGCACGCTTTCAACAGCCTGGTTCCTGTTGCCTTCCCTTTTTACTCTAGGGGAGGTCAGATTTTGCAATTCATGCCAGTGCCACCAGTAGCTGCCAGTAAATGTGTTTTATTTCACAAACCCATTTCTCTGGGATTTGGGCATGTTTGTTTGAAAGTTATCTGACTGAAACAGAGCTCATGTGGAAGAAAGTCCTTTGAGTTGTCTGTCCAGAGCCCTAACAGTAGCTTGGGGAGAGGATTTCTTATCAGGGATAAAGAGTATAGTTTTGAGAAGAATGGGCATCCTTTGCTGTCAGTTTGAGCATTGGACTGTGCTTTTAGATGTCATGGTGATGCTCGTATTACAAAGCTAGGTATTATATTCTTTTTACCTAACTGACGCAGTTCCCAGGTTCCTCTGTCCTTTTACCTTTCTCCTGAAATACATATTCCTCAATTACATAACTGAAATCTTCTCTGTATTTAACCCATCCATGCCAGAAAGAGGAAAGTTAGCTGGGCCAGTTTGCACAGAAAAGAAATGTTTAACAAGCCTATAAACAGTTTAAAGCAAATTGTGCATTTCAATAGTTTCCATGAGAGAGGGAGCAAAAAACTAGGCAACGTCATTCAGGCTTGGTGGCAGCCCATGGCTCCCCTTGGTTACAGCATGTTCTGAGTTAGAGGAAGAAGTGTGTCTCTGAACTGCCAGGACAGAGTCTTTCTGTATCCTTCCCTTGCCCTTTTAACTGCCTTGCTATTTGTTAGCAACTCCTTTCTAGAGTTACTAATGCGTAAGTGCATCATTTACAGAGCACTGAAGCCCACCCTTAGATCCCCAACTCTTTCTAAATTAAAGCCTGATTGATAGCCTTTAAGAAGGCTGTGCAATGTGTTTAAGTCAGCTTATAGATAGTCCAGGAGAATATGATCCCCTCTACACTATGCTTGCAATGATCTAAGCTATTCTTTGTAGTAGTTTAGGATTTTATATCCTTTTTTTTTCAGGAAATGAATAGCACTGTGTGAAAACAATTTGTGTAAGGGGACTGGTGACAGGACATTTAAGTGAAGCATGGATGTTTCAATGGAAGTACAATGTGTTAGTCAAATGCTACCTGCTGGGCTGATTAGCAGTAACTGGGGATAATTCTGTAGCCTGTGTTAAAAAGGAAATCGTACTGGAAAAATGAATATCCCTTCCTATCTGAAATGTGTGAATCCATAAATTTCCTGTGTGTTATTATTCATTTTCTCTTTGTCTTATGATCTAGAATGGCCATGTGCTTTCATGGCACATCCATTTTCTTAAGTGTTTGGCAGAGTGAAAGGAGCAAATGATCACAAGAAAGGAAGTGATTATTTTGTTAGTTTGCAGGGGTTTTTTTTTGGAACAGAGGTGATAGTTTGAGGATGAAATGGCTCTTGAGGTTCTTTTTGGACTAAGCCTCTTCATGCATGTTTGTTAAACAAACGAAAAAGGTGTGTGTATACCTAGACCTTCAAATACAGGCTTTGCAAGTGCTACAATATCTGGATGCCTGTCACTGCTGCCAAGACTCTCCAGTGAAAGGCAGGGTTACCTAAAATCACAGAAGTACACAGTCTGAGCTTTTCGCTCTGCCTGCTCCTCTGATACTCCAGCCAGTTTTGTTTGCATACCTGTCACATACTTGCACTTTTCATTTTCACAAATCCACCTAGACCCTGAGTAATAGTTGCATTTGCTTATCAGACACCTTTATTAGCCTTCTCCTAACACCCCACAGCCCTGCTAATTTATGAATGCCTTTTCAACAGGCCTACTTCATGCAAGATTGGTTCTATTTTCCTACTTTTTCTGTGCACCAGTCCACAAGAGCACGGCACTATTAGTATTGAACAAGAAACAGCATTTCTGTATTATTTCTGTCATGCATTACAGTATTTTTTGGTTATGTTTTTCCTCAACTTGCAGTACTCTGCAATATCACAAAAAGATGCAGTCAGTGAACTCCATTCTTTCAGGTAAGTGCTGTACTTTGTGGTAAGAAGTACATGTGTGTTAATATTAGAGTAGATTTTGTCTAGCATACTGACAGTTTTACAAGAGAGAGAAGACGCGTTCAGAATACTATTGCATCATTTTAAATACAAGTCAGAGTGGACTCTGTGATTCCTTCTTTCTTAACTTTTAAACAATAAGAAACATTAAAGTGAAACGAGGTGAAAAATAAGGTGAAAAATATGTACCAGGAAACTGCAGTTGTTGCTCAGCTTTTTGAGGAGTGGATCGGCTAGGCTAATATTTAAGCTCCGGTCCCCTTACTCACAAGAAAAGCATCGTGCATGTACCTTAATTTCACTGTTGCTCCAGGCGAATGTAGCAGACTGTTCCCATGGCCTCCATTAGGCTGAGGGGGCATTTTGACTGGTAGTCGACTGATAAGGAAGAAGAGTGGTGTTGTTGGGGGTTTTTTAGTAATGCTATTTCAGAGAATTGATTCAACTTTGTTAAATCACAGTTGCCACCAGTCAAACAAAAGCAATTTGTTTCTATGTTGGAACTGATGTAATGAAAAATGTGTCATGGCTTAGCTGGGGACACGTGCTTTTTACCTTGTACTGTTTTGGCAATTTGTCTTCTGTATAAAGCTGGATTTTCTTAACGTTAGATATTATCTTGATCACATGTAAGATCTGTGTGATCTGCAATTGAGCACAGAAAATCTGTGCTTTCTGCAGAAGAGCTTGTAGGTTTTTTGTTTCAATGTTTGCTGTTAATATAACATGTTATATTGATCCAGTCTGGCTTCTCTACAGCTTTCCTGGTGGTGATGAGAAAGATGGTGTAATTCTTGACTAAATGGAAAAGAGCTTAATTTTCATGCAAACAGATATTCAGCAGATTCGTAAAGCCCTAGCCCTGGTAATAAAAATAGAAGCTGATGTTATTAATACATCATTTCAGATACACAGAGCGCCATTATGTGACTCATGGGCTGAGTAAAACTTCTTGTAATCACAGTGGTTGTAGGCTTAAAGCTCTGTAAAGCTGGAAACTTCACCAGATGGCCGTTGTCAACGCAGCTTCTAAAAACTTTAGAGCTGCAATGTGTTAAGGCTCTTCTAGACCTAACTTACCCAGTGGTAGCTTTTTAAAAGACAGTTACTGAGCACAACTCATCCACATTACGACAGTAATAATAATAATACTTTACACTCAGTGACCTTTCATCTGTGGACCTGAAAGCTCTTGAAGAAGAATTTTAAATATCTCCTGTTCAGAGGCTTGAGAACTGGAGCAGCATCAGTCTGAGTCTGTGGTGTTGCCTGCAGGCAGGCGATGCTCTCTGCAGGTCTGAGACTCGAACCAGAAGACTACTACTCTTCCTGCTCCGGCACGGACTTGGGCTGGAATCTGCTACTTCAGAAGCAGCTAGTACCTTCAGTCTTGAGTAGAGCCAGCCCGTGACTGGGATTGCTGATATAAAACGCTGTGCAGTGGGAGCAAGAATGTTGTAAAATGGCCCTAATTTGAAATGTGCCTTATTTCCTCTGTTTGTAAACTGAGGATAATACTAGACTGGTGTTGAGATCTGGGGATGAAAGATACTGAAGGCCAGATATACCGCACCTAATTTCAGGCCCTTACCTAAGGAGCTTAAATTTGGAGTGGTACATCTTATTTTCCATCTAGTCAAGGCAGATAGATAGGTACTTGCAAAGACTGACCAGGATTTTAGTCATGTCCTTTGTTAAAGTACCACATGCTGACTGTGAATTTACTGAGCTTTAGTACTCAGCCTAAAACTCACGTAATGGTATTTGTCAGTAATGGAAGTGAATGACTGTATTTGAGATTTGCTTTTGTACAGTCAGTAGTAATTTTTTCTTTTTTCATGAAGTGATTTTATTGTTGACTTTCAGGATCTAAAAAATAGGCCTGAAAGTTCTCCCTTGGTGACTGTTTTTATTTTATCTTTTAGATTGATGCAATTGTGGCTTTGGGTGGACTCGGAGGACGCTTTGACCAAACAATGGCATCAGTGGAAACTCTTTTTCACGCGACAAGTATCACTCCTTTTCCAGTGATAGTCATCCAGCAGTGCTCCCTGATTTACCTGCTTCAACCTGTAAGTGATGTGAAAAGTGTTTTTGTAGTAAACCTGACCTTCCACCCATCCAGGTGCTGTAGTTCTGGCACCATTAAATGCTCATTTTCTTAATTGCATTCTGTAGGGTCACAGCCTAAACATAAACTACAGGGAAATGGACAGCAAATTATATACCCTGCAGTCTTGTCTTTGAAAAGATCACATTTGACTTATTCAGAGTAGATTTTTTTCAAAGGGGAGGAACAAAGAAGTTAAGAAGGTATAAAAGCTGAAATTGAGTAAATCTGAGATTTTGATTAAAATGAAAAAATCTTTAAACTTTTAAATTGGATAGGAGGAAGTTTAAATTTAGCACACAGCCCTTTTGCCTGTTGATGCGCTTGGATGTCTGCAGTAGGAAAAAGAAAACCGTAAGAGAAGGCTGTGAGGGAAGTCTTGACAAACATGTCAGGCAGGATTCTTATGTGGTCTGAGCGGTGATGTTCGTTATGATGGGAACCCAGTTAGAATCAGCGAGGGGATTCATTTTAGATATGTTGATTTTGTGGTTTTCAGGTCTGTTACTCCATTTATTGATTCATAAAATAACACATGCACAAGACCTTGCAGAGCTTCTGCTTTTAAGATTTAAATTAAAAGCAAATCTAAGCATCAGAGAGTCTTCTCTAACAGTGATTCATTTATTTGTTTGAAAATACCTTTCCCTGATGTCAGGGTTTCTAGAAACTTACCTAGCTTTCCATTTTATCTTAGCTTATTTCGTTAAAATAAATAACATCCACTGATAAATTTGACAAACCCTGCACCACACATGCTTCATTGTAATTTGAGAAGGGCATTAATAAGTTTCTATGAGATTATAGATTTAAATCCACAGGGGCAGGTGCTGTATTAACAACTCTGAAGCACTCTGTCTGCAGGAAAGATGGTAGGCACAGGAGCTCATTTGCCAGTATGACAAGGAATGACTGTGAACATTAGTTGCACAGCTAAATGGCTAGAGGCAGCAGAGTGAGGGAAAACGGGGCTATAGGATAACCATGATTCAAACCTGAAAGTGAGGAGTGGTTGACTTGTGGGTATAGTGCTTCGCTGATCGCTGTAAAGAATTTTAGGAGACTTTTAAGAACCTGTTTAACAGTTGAAATAAGATGAAGAATTCCCAGTTTATCTTATAAAATATTTACTTTGACTGGAAAGACTTTTTATTCTTTTAATTCATCTTTTCCATAAGTGGCTTTTAAAATTCATTCTTAGGGTTGCTTTGAGAAGAGTCCTGAATGAACGATTAACCCCTTTGCAACTTGAAAAAAAAAATCGTGGTCTGTGTATTCGAATAGAAGTTGGAGGTTGCTAGCTGTTTGTTTGGGTTTGCTGGAAACTTCCTTATGTTCTTTATTGTGCTTTACAAAAAGCATTTAATACTTTTTTGGTTGGTGGGGACAGCTGCACAGGGTGTTATTTCTTTTCCACAGTTCCTGGCTGTCAAGCTGCGTTGCCAGTAACTGACTTCATACCTTCAGGCTTTTTCTAGTATTCAGAAACGAAGGGCAGAGACAGGGGGCAGGCATTTTACAACAATCGTAAAGCTAACTTTGACACAAAATTGCATTTCCTTGATGGTTTAAACTTGTCACTGTTAGCATCCTGAGTCAACTATCATGGTCCCTCCAGATAATAATGTTAATCCTTCATAGTTAAGATAAGATCAAATAAGCAGTTTACATGCAGGAGCAAACAGGGATCCTACGCTTGGAAGTACTTTTTTTTTTCCTATGGAGTTCAGCATGGTATTTTCTCTTGTAAACAGCCACAATCAGGGCATTCTCTCTCTTTCCCCTCTCCCCTTTGTAATTTAAAATCAAGGTAGGAGGGCGAGAAACACAGTGGGAGACAACTGACTTTTTGAAATGCAAGTCTGGAAACTGTGTAACAAATGAAGTAGGGTTTTTAGATTCAAATACTAATGCACATGATAAAGTTAAGAGTGTCTTGTTTTTCCTATAAAATATAGCTCTAAAGCATTTTTCTCTTGGCAAGGAGAATCTGATTATTTTTTTTTTTTATTCTTTGGATAAAATGTATGAGCAAAATGTAACCATATTTTCATTTCAAAATAAAATTAGACCTCTGCTTACTATAGCAGGAGACCAGTATGAGTTCTCTATCATATGTACCTAGGCAGAAACTGAAATGCTTGGATAGGGCAGTGAACCTGGTAATCGCGCAACAGCCCTAGGAAGGCTACAAAGGGGAAAAGCAAGTCAAGCCACTGAATTATTAGCTAACAATGCAGGAAAAAAAGAGGAAGATTAAATGGGTGGATGTCTTAATACACGATAAAAATTACTAATTAATTGCTTTAAAAGAGAGTTATTTTGCATTATTGAAATGTTGATATAGAGGAGTACAGCTCATATAAGGGGAAAATATTACAAGGATAGAAGGCAGTCTGTATCAATATTGAACACACTTCTGAAGGTCCATGGTGGTGCTGGAAACAGGCTTGTATGCTTGCTATAAGTCTTAAGAGTGACAGAGGAAGGCAGCAAGGACAGTGCCATAATTGGAATCTGCAGTAGGTGATGGACCAGGTAAACAAAACCTGTTTTCATCAACCAATAAAATTACCCAAATACTGAATATAAGTGGTAATTGTGATTTTAAGTACTTTAAGTTTAAGGCCTCTCTTGGGAAATACCACAGCCAGACATAGATAGTGCATGTTTTTGAAAAGTTTTAGGAAAAATGTTTTGACATGGAAAGTGAAGAAAGCTACAAGAATGAAGCCTCTCTTATTCATTTCTGACTTGCAGAGATGAGCTCTGTGAGCAGGGAGATGGAGGAGAGAAACAAGACTGGATGAACTATACCCCATGAATGTTTTGTATGTCTCCATTGACTCTATAGAGAATCTAGGTAGTGGGATGAGAAGTAGTTTTACATTTACATGTAAATGTACATTTATAATGTACAAAATGTATAATTTACATTTACATTTACCTCTCCATCTAAATTGAGAGGCGTGAATTCCACGCCTCTGGTAGGTCAAATTACCAGACGAGTATTTAAACAAAAAACGTAAAACAAGATGCAGCTACGGAAGGGCCCAAACAGTAATGAGAACATAGTCTGAATCTATGGAAGTTGTAAGATGGCAGAGAAAGGGGATTTTCTCACTTCTGGATGGGAAGGGAAAACTGATGACAGTCTTAAGTTTCATGCATCCTTGCTCAGTCTTCAATAAAGCAAAATATTTCTTTGAGCAGATAACCAGCACAGTTAACATCAAAGCCAAAGTCTTAAGAGTCTAAATTGCTTCAGAGAAAAAGTAGGTAAGAGATTGAGCTGCATTTGATTTTGCCAGCTCCAGGGGTGGTTAGTAAGGATTTGGGTGTGCCATGCTGCACTAATTAGGATAGGAGTTAAGAATAGGGAGACTGCAGGACAACTCCAGGAGGTGATGCTTGCTCTAAAGCATTTTCTGATATGATGATTTAAGTTTTTTTTGTTGTTTAAACATACTCTCTCTGCACTGAATAGTCATATTTCTTTCTGTGGTGCTGGGGGAAGCCCTGAATTCTTAATACGGAGTAATCACTCTTTATGAGTAGGATGTTTTATGTAACAGTCCATACATTTTATGCCTGAAATTTTGCTAATATCAATTACCATTAGAATATACCCTGGCTGAAGAACATTAGGCCCTCTGAGTCATGTTTATCATGCTAGCTGTGCTCAGTATGAATGGCTTAAGGTTTCACATACATACTTTCTCATTTTCTGGTACTGTGCTTCTCAGGAGTACAGAAACATTAGCTTCTGTACACTGAGCATAAATTATCTTTTATCTGTGGGTTTTATGGCAGTTTGTAATACAAGGTAATAGGATTTATGACTAAGAAATGAGAAGATGTCCAAGAGTTAATGAGGCCTGTCTTTTACATTATACTGAGCAGAGTTCAGTGTTCCCCATGCAGGATTCCAGCATTGTGATGTAGGGGAGAAGTATTGCTACCTCTGCATGGAAATATGTTACAGCAGAGTACTTTTGTCAGTTAGCTAACTCTTTTGAAGGAGCCTGTGAGTACTTTGGTAACCCTTTCTCTTATATACAGCTTTTCTTGTGACTGTCTTTCTTCCCTGTGATAAATGCTGAATACTTTAATATGAACAAGAATCCAGCAACTAAACATGAGGAACAAGAATCAGGAGTCCCATGCCTTTTTCTTGACTCTTTACTACCATTTCATTGTGGAGAAACGGTCAAGGATTTAGTCTTTTGATCTCATAGTTGCTAGTTTGTAAAAGGAGCAAAACCCATGTTATTTATATTTATTAATATAAATAATAATTAACATAAATATTGCCATAGAGCAGTCTGTACAGCAAATCAGTTAGTATGGTCCCAAACATAGTTTTAGTGGGGACCAGCTATCGTTCTCACAGACAATGCCTGGGCGTAGTTTGGGGTTAGCCCAGCTCGGTAACTGCTTACCGAGTAGTTGAGAGGGTAGCACCTTGTTTTGGGGGGCGAGAGAAAGTAGTCATATGGATGTGAGCAGTGCTGTGCCAGTAGGCTGGAGGGCCAGGGGACATTCCCGGCCGCATTTTACTTAATAGCACAGACACAGAGACGTAGGGTAGAGTTCTGCTCCCAGATGCAGACAATAGATATAAGTGAGTGAAGGTACAAGATGCGCACCTTACTCTCTCTCCTGTGGTTTGTTGCTGCAGTTCTCTGTGCGAGTAGTTTTTGTTTTGCTTTGTATCCCTGCTTGTATGCTAAAATGTAATGGGAGGAGGTTCAGGGAACATACCTGCAATTTCAGAGTTTTCTTCTGGCAACCAGTTCCGTGAATTTTGTAGGAACTTTGGGGATGGGTTGTCAGATCAGTCCTGCACTCCCTTTACGTGCCATAGTCTCATATGTGAAAGAAGCAGATCTGGCTCGCACTGGCATTCAGTGGAGAAAATCCATAGTGCCTGTGCCTCTTTGAGGGGATAATGTTTGAATT